GGTCTCAACGAACAGTTGTGATTTTTCTTAATTGTTATGATTTTGTCTCGACCAATGATGTATGGTTCCCTATTTTCATCTGAATGTGAAAAATTTATCTGAGTTTTGGAATGATAGACTTCCTTGAGGTCTCGACGAACAGTTGTGATTTTTCTTAAATGTGATGATTTTGTCTCGACAAATGATTTATGATCCCCATTTACATCTGAATGTGAAAAATACATCGGGAATTTTGAAATGATAGACTTCATTGACGTTTGATGAACAGTTTTTTTTTTTAATGTGATGATTTTGTCTCGACCAATGATTTGTGATTCCTCATTTACATCTGATTGTGAAAAATATATCGTGAGTTTTCAAATGATAGACTTCATTGAGGTCTCAACGAACAGTTGTGATTTTTCCTAATTGTGATGATTTTGTCTCAACCAATGATTTATGATCCCCATTTTCATCTGAACATGAAAAATACATCGTGAAATTTGGAAATGATAGACTTCATTGACGTTTGATGAACAGTTGTTTTTTTTAATGTAACGATTTTGTCTTAACCAATGATTTGTGATTCCTCATTTACATCTGATTACACCGAAGACTTTAGTCAAGGTGTTATGGTATCGTGTGACGGGGTTTTTTTTTAATGTTGTCTGTTGTCAAGTGTCGACAAATAACGTCCACAGTTATCAATTATTATGTGGGCTGGACTATATCGCGCTATGTCACGTGATTGCGTATGTTTTGTTTCTTTATTTGTTCATCTTTATTTATTTAATTATCTGTTCTTCTATTTATTTAATTATGTTTAGTTTGCTTATATTTATTTATAATTTATGTATGTACATATTTATTTTTGTTTATTTTTATCACGTGTTTTGTTTATTTATTTAATTATTCTTTCTTTCATTTAGTTTTGCTTTTATTATTTCTGCGTGTGTATTTATTACGATTTTTAGTTCTCGAACTGTTATTTCATGATCTTTGTCAATATATCAAAATTTTATTGTATACATGTGTTAGTACCATTTTTAGTTCTCGAACTGTTATTCCATGATCTTTGTCAATATAGCAAAATTTTGGTGTATACATGTGTTAGTACGATTTTTAGCTCTAGAACTGTTATTCCATGATCTTTGTCAATATAGCAAAAATTTGACGTATACATGTGTTAGTACGATTTTTAGCTCTCGAACTGTTATTTCATGATCTTTGCCAGTATAGCAAAATTTTGGTGTATACATGTGTTCGTACGATTTTTAGCTCACGAACTGTTATTTCAGGCCCTTTGTCAATATAGTAAAATTTTGGTGTATACATGTGTTAGTACGATTTTTAGTTCTAGAACTGTTATTTCAGGCTCTTTCTCGATATAGCAAAATTTTGGTGTATACATGTATTAGTACGATTTTTTGTTCTAGAACTGTTATTCTTCAATTATTAGTTGTTCAAGTTGTTTGGTTTTTGCTTCAGTTTCTATGCCTTCGGTGTATTGCGCGTAGCGCCTATGTTTGTGAAAATTATATCGTGAGTTTTGAAATGATAGACTTCATTGAGGTCTCAACGAACAATTGTGATTTTTCCTAAATGTGATGATTTTGTCTCAACCAATGATTTGTGGTTCCTCATTTACATCTGAATGTGAAAAATACATCGGGAATTTTGAAATGATAGACTTCATTGACGTTTGATGAACAATTGTTTTTTTTAATGTGATGATTTTGTCTGGACCAATGATTTGTGATTCCTCATTTACATCTGATTGTGAAAAATATATCGTGAGTTTTGAAATGATAGACTTCATTGAGGTCTCAACGAACAGTTGTGATTTTTCTTAATTGTTATGATTTTGTCTCGACCAATGATGTATGGTTCCCCATTTTCATCTGAATGTGAAAAATTTATCTGAGTTTTGGAATGATAGACTTCCTTGAGGTCTCGACGAACAGTTGTGATTTTTCTTAAATGTGATGATTTTGTCTCGACAAATGATTTATGATCCCCATTTTCATCTGAGTATGAAAAATACATCGTGAAATTTGAAATGTTGGACTTCATTGAGGTCTCAACGAACAGTTGTGATTTTTCCTAAATGTGATGATTTTGTCTCAACCAATGATTTTTGATCCTTATTTTCATCTGAACATGAAAAATACATCGTGAAATTTGGAAATGATAGACTTCATTGACATTTGATGAACAGTTGTTTTTTTTTAATGTAACGATTTTGTCTTAACCAATGATTTGTGGTTCCTCATTTACATCTGAATGTGAAAAATACATCGGGAATTTTGAAATGATAGACTTCATTGACGTTTGATGAACAATTGTTTTTTTTTAATGTGATGATTTTGTCTGGACCAATGATTTGTGATTCCTCATTTACATCTGATTGTGAAAAATATATCGTGAGTTTTGAAATGATAGACTTCATTGAGGTCTCAACGAACAGTTGTGATTTTTCTTAAATGTTATGATTTTGTCTCGACCAATGATGTATGATTCCCCATTTTCATCTGAATGTGAAAAATTTATTGTGAGTTTTGGAATGATAGACTTCCTTGAGGTCTCGACGAACAGTTGTGATTTTTCTTAAATGTGATGATTTTGTCTCGACAAATGATTTATGATCCCCATTTTCATCTGAGTATGAAAAATACATCGTGAAATTTGAAATGATGGACTTCATTGATGTTTGATGAGCATTTGTTTTTTTGAATGTGATGATTTTGTCTGGACCACTAATTTGTGATTCCTCATTTACATCTGAATGTGAAAAATTTATCGTGAGTTTTGAAATGATAGACTTCATTGAGGTCTCGACGAACAATTGTGATTTTTCTTAAATGTGATGATTTTGTCTCAACCAATGATTTATGATCCCCATTTTCATCTGAACATGAAAAATACATTGTGAAATTTGGAAATGATAGACTTCATTGACGTTTGATGAACAGTTGTTTTTTTTGAATGTGATGATTTTGTCTGGACCAATGATTTGTGATTCCTCATTTACATCTGAATATGAAAATTATATCGTGAGTTTTGAAATGATAGACTTCATTGAGGTCTCGACGAACAGTTGTGATTTTTCTTAAATGTGATGATTTTGTCTCGACAAATGATTTATGATCCCCATTTTCATCTGAACATGAAAAATACATCGTGAAATTTGGAAATGATAGACTTCATTGACGTTTGATGAACAGTTGTTTTTTTTGAATGTGATGATTTTGTCTGGACCAATGATTTGTGATTCCTCATTTACATCTGATTGTGAAAATTATATCGTGAGTTTTGAAATGATAGACTTCATTGAGGTCTCGACGAACAGTTGTGATTTTTCTTAAATGTGATGATTTTGTCTCGACAAATGATTTATGATCCCCATTTTCATCTGAACATGAAAAATACATCGTGAAATTTGGAAATGATAGACTTCATTGACGTTTGATGAACAGTTGTTTTTTTTGAATGTGATGATTTTGTCTCAACCAATGATTTATGATCCCCATTTACATCTGAACATGAAAAATACATCGTGAAATTTGGAAATGATAGACTTCATTGACGTTTGATGAACAGTTGTTTTTTTTGAATGTGATGATTTTGTCTGGACCAATGATTTGTGATTCCTCATTTACATCTGAATATGAAAAATATATCGGGAATTTTGAAATGATAGACTTCATTGACGTTTGAACAGTTTTTTTTTTTTTAATGTGATGAAATTGTCTAGAACAATGATTTGCGATTCCTTATTTATAACTCAATATGAGAAATACGTCGTGATTTTCGATTAGATATGCTTTATTGACGTTTCGAAGAACAGTTGTGATTTTTTTGAACGTGATGATTTTGTCTGGACCAATAATTTGTTGTTTTTCATAAGTTTGATAATGGCAATACGACGTGATTGTGGATTTTGTAAACTTAAGTGGCAGCCCGAAAGATCAGCTGAATGTGAAAAATAAGTCTTGAATTTGAAAAACACGAATTTTAGATACAATTCCATGAACAGTTTTGATAGACTTGTCGAAAAATTGTTTTGACGTTTTATTGTTCCGACTTTCGATACGAAAGTAACGGAATATTTGTGCTCGGGTTGGGTTTCTTTTTTCTTCAGACAAATTTCGACTTTTTAACTAGCCATTTTTGACGGAATTTTTTTTACATCATTCAAAAGGTATTGTTGTCCTGAGCTTAAATTTGAAAAGATATTTCACCTGTGATCATTTTTCGTAAAGTTATGAGGGTTTAAAGATTGCCATTTTGGCCATTTTGACCAATTTGGGACAATTAACGCGCAATATAATTCGCGCTATTAACGCGTAAGCGGAGATTTAATCCGTCTTATAAATCGTTCCAAATTGGTTGAACGAAGCTTATTTGCCATAATTGATTTGTTACAAGGAACGAAATTTATCTTTTTGTACTTTATATGACGTGTGGGGGGATCATTTTATTTTGTTTCATTCAATATTTTTTATGTATTACTGCTGCTCAATAAACCTTAAAAGGCAGTCGGAACATTCAGGGCTTTGCCCTGATACGAGCAGTCTTGTTGTAGTTTAGTGATAGTTTAGTTTGATTCCTTGATTGTGACTCATCGTTTACTTTTTCAAAGTCGGGAGTTTTTTCACACAATTGGTACATGAAAGATTACGCACTGAATGGAAAATACAAATCTAATGTGTTTCCCTCCGTTTTTGGCTTCTACGGAACACCCATGCATTGAACGATAACTGCCATTCGTTGCAGTCCGGACAAAGCTGCTGTAGTTCCTTGCGCGCTCTGAACTTTTTTGGCCTATTTGGAACTATCGTGTGTGCTTATTTTTTGTACGCTTAGACATATTTTGAAGGCTCAGCTATGTATTTTAGTTCAAATGAACAGTCAAATGGTGCTGGTATTTGACTACTATCTGATCACAATGCCAATTTTGCTTGTAATTAGTGTGTAAATCAGTTATATTTTTAGCATCACATACTTTTTCTTTTCTGTAGACTTCTGGAGGCGGAGTACAAGAAATGCAAGGACCTCCGAAAAGAAATCACTGGTCTGCAGAAAACTTTGGAGAGTCTCAACCAGCAGTTGGAGAGTGAGAGAAGCGAGAAGAATTCTCTGGCGGCTGAAATGGAGAGTCACACCAGTCGCCATTCGGCAGAAGTGAGTTGTCTTTTCATTAGTTCTGTGCTGAAATAATTTCTAGTTCTAAGATCAATTGTGTTATATTCATTCCAAACACATCGTGGGCTGGATCGAACTGAGCAAAAAAAGACTTGTATAAAACTTATAAAATCTCATATTGCTTGTCATTAATTTTGCTTATCGGTGTGAAAGTTTTTTTTAGTTGCTTATCAATAATTAGAGTAATCTTTTACACTTAGAGGTGTCCATCTATCGGAATAATTTATGGAATATTTAGACCTTCCTGGATTGTTTTTTTTTTTTGGTTCAAGCAAGCTAAAGTGTAGAATCTTTTAATGAACGGTAAGAACGTTCAATGGTGTGAAATTGCATTATGAGCCTCGACACAGTGTTTGGTTCTTCCGCGTATCATTGAAGGCACAATATGATTGACGTGGTAGATGGCTATTTTTAAATTCCGATATATGCGGTTTTCCAAGAGTTGTCAAAAACGCTAGTCCAGTCCCTTCGTTGAATTCAGATACAATTGGGGGAGGGTAATTAGTTTGACGAGGGGACGGGGGTTGGGAAACTGGAAACGAGTCTGGTAATTAATCAGCACTGACAACAGCAGCAGTTGTTTGTTAAGGTTAGCCGAGTGCGTGAGAATTGTGAGCGGGAGGCGGAGGCTAAGTCGGAGCGGGTGGTTCAGGAGGCGAAGAGTGAGTGGGAGTGGCGGATGGGGGAAGAGAGACGCCGACACAGTGCGGAGATGAGGAAGCTGGAGACCACTTTCAAAGTCGCCATGGAGGTAACTAGTATTGTATCTTTCAACTGTAATTTAACTGCGAATCACTGAATTAAAATGGTCATTGAAACAGAAATGATTTTATTTAGTGAGTGTACAGCTGACCAACAAAAGTAGCTCAGACGAAACGTTGAGAAAATTATAAACATAATTGGCATCAGTTTAAATTTTTCTGAAAATTAATTTTTTTTAGCAATTTAAATTTTTCTCAAGACTGTTTTGGTAGTTTTTTGCCAATTTTGAGTACTTTTTGCGCTTTAAGTTTTTTTTTTGTAAAAGTTGTTGTGGTAAGGCCTGGGAACTGCAGAAATGTTACTTTGGGCGATTAAATCATGACTGTTAACTGATTTGTTTGTGTTGTGCTAGAGTGTTCGTAATGAGTTGGCGAGCGAGGGGGAGGAGAAGAGGAGGGAGATGGGAAAGGTGGTGGAGGAGTTGGAACAGAGGAACCACTCCCTACACTCGCAACTCAGTCTCCTACAAGCCAGACAGCACACCACACACACCCACACGTAAGTACACACACGTGAACCCCTTTTTTATCAGGGTTGGGTTTAACAGGAGGACGACCCCCTCAAGGATTCGACCACCCACAGGGTCCCCCCTTAGGTACTATTTAACCATATTTGGTTTATAAAACTCTTTCTACCCTTATTAATACCACAGTAATATGTAGGGATGGATCATCAACCCATCCTCTTTCAACACAAGCCCGCGTGTGTTTTACGCGCCTCTGCTCTGTACAAACAAGTTTTATGGCGTGTACCATGTATGAAGAGAATAAATTAAATTTGGTAATTACCCTCAGTATTTCTCAGTTACTTAAAAATAAGCTCTTCCTCATTTTTCAAAGTTCTTTTGTTATGTAAGTACAGTCAGATATCAAGACAAATGGGTTTGTTGTTGCTACAGATGAACTTTAATATTTTAAATATTAGAGAGATTCGAAAAGTCATAAAGTATCACTTATTTTTCCAAAAAATATTGTATGGCGTATCTTATTTTGTGATATGAATTTTTTTTTAGCCTGGAGCTTAAAAGATGCTTCGAGCGGAACTACGTCGAAGTAATGAATCTAATCGACAGAACCATGAGCTCAGATAGTCACGTGACCGCAGAACGGGAACCCTACAAGCGACCCGCTTCCGAACAAGACTCATATTCTGCAATGGTACCTCAGAAACTTGTAAATTCGCCCAGCCAAAATTTACAGTATGTGCCAAACGTCACGCAAGCAGCAAATTTCAGCTCAAATGCAAGCTACGCTGCTGCAGCAAATGCTCAGCAGCTGTCTGCAAACTACTCGAACCCTTCGACGGCATCAATTTCTCAACATCTGGCCTTTGGATACCGACAACAAGGGAATCCAAATTCGATCCGGGAGAGTACAGCTAACGCTAGTGGACTCCTGGGACCCACTGAGAGGCTTGAATTGCCCCCTCCTATGGGTGGGGGGCTGCCGTCAAGTGGAGTAGGGAGCAGAAATCCTGCCACAACTGGGCTGACTAGCAGTACTCCGGCAGGCGTCCAGTTTTATTCAGCGGGTTAGTGACAAATTTAATTGGATCAGTTTTGAGTTGAACCTTGCATTGCGCGTTGAGGTCAATTGTGTTAGCCAACAGATAAGAGCTAGTAGTTAAAGTAGACTGTAGCTAAACTATTTCCTATTTAGTAATATCCTGCACTTGTCAACGTTTTCTTAAACAGGATTGCTTATCGCCTTTCATTTTGTTCAGGCACTTGAAAAATAACTTTTGATGATGCTCTGACAAATTAAATGCATTTGCAATTGTCATCAAAACAACTCTTGAATTAGATCTCGATTTGTGTTGAATCAATATGTTCCAGGCACTACTCCTTCAGATGAGACGGAGACTGCCCCCTTCGCCAGTCGGGAGAGCTTTGACCAGGAGGCATACGGAGACACAGAGGAGTCCAAGGATGCCCAAAGTGGCCATAGGGCTAATGAGGAGGAGTCAAATTATGTTCAAGGGCACGGACATCCAGCAGGAGCTGGGGGATCATACTCACACTACTCTCATACCTCGTCCAACGATTCCAAGGTATGTATGGGTGAATAAATTAGGGACAATAGTTCATTGATTGAACATTATAATAAGACTAAACAACGCAGTTATAATAAGCTACGAGGAGCGATGGTGAAGTGGCTAACTATGGTGAAGTTTCCACCTCAGTCGTTAGGTTGATGGTTTGAGGCCAACCATGATCCGTGCTCTTTGCCTGCAGCTAAGGCGACAATTGTCAGCCCAGAAATTATAAAAATTTGCATGTAGTTTTTAATACACGTAGTTATAGTTATTGTAGTTGAAGGTTAGGCTTCTTAATTGACCCAAGGAAAGGACCCCATAACTGATCGACAAACATGAGTTTCCAAATGGTTAACAAGATGAGTTAAAAAGAGTTGTGTCTTTTTATTCCAGGAGCAGAGCGGCAGTGGCAGTGGGGCATGGCAGTGGCCGTCTATGCACTCCACGAACATGAGTGGCAGCTGCATGAACTCCAGTGCTCTTCTGTTCCCCATGTCCAAACACTCACAAGCAGGGTGCGTTCTTATCTTTTTCTCTCTTTGTTGTGTTTATCAGACCCAGGCACTCGCACTGTAAATGATGGCAGGCTCTACTTCTTTGAGGGAGGTTGTGTTTTGTCAATTCCGACGTAACTGTTCCCACCTTTAGGGACGAGGATGACACACCTTTTTCTCTTGATATCAGTAGATGTAGAATCAGATGCGATGATGGTAGCGCTGCTTTCAGTATTGATTTTTAAAAAATACCATGCTTATCGTTTTGTGAAAGTTGGGTGATGTTCCAAGTTTGAACAAAAGTTTTTCTTGTAGACGGCTGGATAACATGTCCAACTTCCACGCAGTTAGCTCGACGTCCTTCGAAGACTCGAACTCAACTTCAAAGTCATCAAGGAATCTCATCAACGCAAACATATCACTTCCATTCCATTCATCGTCAACTCATCACCAAGACTCATCGACTTCGAAATTGTCATCTAAACAAACGAGTTACTCTCACGAGCACGAAACAGCCAATAGGAGTGCATCATTGAATGGTTCGGTATCCAATCACTCAGGTAGTTCAATTCCACACGCGGCGGGAGACATAACCTCACATAGCAGAAATAGCATGACGAAGAAAAATGTGAACAGCAGTTCAAGCGCCGCCTGTAGTAAGTCGGGATCCAGTTCGGCAAAGAGTGTCGGCTTGGCGCCCAGTGCGAGGTTCACAGTCTCATTTCACTCGCATTCCGAGTCTCCATCGCCGTTACTTCCACCGCCTAATGAAAAGTCGAGAAGCTCTTCGAGTAATTGTGTGAAGAGCAGGAAGTTGTTTCATTCGTCAGGAGACAGCCAATCTAACGGTCAGTTCATTTGTATGATTATCCTTAATTTATCCTAATCGAAGGGGAATCATAGCGAGAAATCAATTTTGTGCGCGGAATATCCAGAATTATTAATTATATGAAACGTTTAATGGCAGCTTGTGGAGCTAAAAATAATAATAACAAGAATGAATTATTGTTAATAAATTTACGAGGGGGCGGTTAACGGGATTACAGCCATTAGTTCTCGTCTGCAGGTGTTTTAACATGATGCTTATTTTGTTTCAGATCTGACCCAGGGAAGCAACAGTCACAGTGGAATTCACTTGTCCAGTGGGTGGCGCAGTCTCAGTCCGGACTCGGGCGACAACCGAGACCCCAGAGATCTGAGAGAGGACGAGGATGATGGGTATGATGTAGACGACCAGCTACTGAGTGACGTCAGCAGCGAGACGCTAGCCATAAACAGTAGCAGTCCTGTGCCACGTGGTAACGAACATGAGAAAAACGAGCTTAGTTCCAATCGCCAACCAATTGGCAACGGACACTGTAACAATATTATCGGACAAAAAGAGGGCAAAAAACGTCTGTCGGAACTGACAACTGCTAGAATTGACAATGATGTCCAAAGTGACCGATTGAACGACTCTCGCAGTAGTATAAACAGCAGTATCATAACCAGTGGTCATTTGATGTTAACTAGTATGGAAAGGCTGGGAAGTAATGCGACACCACCAGTGAAGCAACCAGCAGGAGCTACATTGGGTGCTGGGTCTAACATGGCCAGTGTGACGATGCCTTCTGATGGCAGTGGGAAGGAACTGTCGACTGATGTGAACTTGGAGCAGAGAGACAAAGAGTTGCAGAATTACATACAAATGGTTTTTATTTTCATATTCAAAAGTGAAGTCAGTAAGAGTTATAAACACAGTTCACGCTCTATTTGATTTTTTCGCTCTCTATTTGATTTTTTCGCGAATTGATATTTAATTTTTTTTTTAAGTTCACTGCATTTACCTTTGTTAAAAGGAAGGCAAACTCCAATCTTAAATTTTCTTGAAATTCAAAGAAATTTAAGGCCATATATGTTCTTGCGTTCATTGACTCTTTTGTGTCTTTTACCAGCATATTAAACCTGAAAACATTTTCACGTCAATATTTTAAAGCTGTGTCATCTGTTGAGTGTTCAAATAATCTACAGAGCATACATGGAAATCGTAAATGATTTATCAAATGGCTGCTGCTTGCATGTGTAACTGTGTAAACCAAATAGTCGATTTCAAGGTAATCTAGTTTGGTTAATTATGAAAAGCTAATCTAACTGTCAGCTTCTAATCCCCGCGCCTTCCAAATTTTTGCTTATCGTGGTGGTTTTACGTGTTTTGTAGCTAAATGCGTGATGTTAAGGTGTATGATATGAGGAACAAATCCGTTCACAATAGTTAGTTTTTTTTCATACCATTTTTCATTGCATTCATCCATGAACTTTGACGGTCATTGTCGTTTTTAGCTTCTGAGTAATCCTGGAGGCCTTGGCTTCGATGCTTTTATGGGCAGCGGCGGCAGCGCTAACAACAACAACAACAGCAAACAATTTAAACATAATGAAGCAGTGCTGAGTGATTCTGCCTCAGTAGGGGTAACAGAAAACCATCATCAACACTATCATCGTCATCCGCACAGCGATGACAGCGTGGTAAATGGGGGGAATGGGACTGAAAGTGGATTCACCAGTCAAAGAGAAAGCAGCAGCCAGGTCTTGTTTTGTTTCCCCTTTTAGTTTTCTGGTTTTCTAGTCAACTGTACACAGTCCGCAAAGTTTTTGAGTAAAAAAAACTTAAGGAATCCAAAAGATATACTCGAGGAAATAAAATATTTGGGTGCAATTGTGACGAGTACAAAACTAGAGGGGTTTCAAATAATGCGAAGTTTCTAACGTGAAATTTTGTAATTGGTTGCTTCGATGTCGCTGAAAATATGATGGAAACTAACTGAATTGTTTGGAACGAATTATCGTTGTTTTTTTATACTATAAGTGTGATATGTGACCCTCTAGTTCAATTGGATTTTAAAGTGACCCCTCATGTTTTAAATCTTCAGTTGACAGGATTTGATTTGAAATGTGTATTTAGAAAACCTCTGTAAATGGTGCGGCCACACCCAATGGCAATGCTGGTGGAGCTGTCGACAAGAGACAGGGGGTGAATGCGTCTAACGTAAAAATGTCTTCAAAGGGAACAACCATGGCCAAGCCATGGAAGTGAAAAAATTGGCTGATGATTATCTAAACTACTCTTGCCATATGATGCTACTTAATTATTTTCAAGTGCCTTAATTTTTTCGTCCAAAATGTAAATTTTGCTAAATAGTTATGTAAAGTTCTGTGAAGACATTTTTTTTTCAATCTTTTCAACTCAAATATAAATTCTGGAAGTTTCGCCTTCGTTGTACCACAATGATCAATTCGTTTGAGGTTTTATTGACAATTTTTTGTATGCGTCTCCATTTCACTTTTTCCTTCTAAACATGCAATTCCAATATAAAACTTTATAAACACTTCTATATAAACACTGATCTGACTCTTTTAATCGCTTGCCTCGTTACATTTTCTTTTTACTTTCTTTCTAGTTTCACAGCAACCTTTATCTACGATAAAAGAAAACCTTGCAATTTTCTGCATCTTTTTCTGTAGTTTCATGTGTGAACCTAGCACTCAAAAAACTACCTACAAGTTTTTAATTGAAGTTTTATTTTTTCAACTGAATATGAACTATTTTGGCTTGGAAAAAAAATTTTGGTAACCAGTTTAGGTAAAGTTAATGATGATTAAGTTAGAAAAAATCAAGTTAGAAAGTGAAGTGGAATAAATTATAAATTACTTTATTGGCATCTGCGTGTTTTTTTCGGCTTTATGGTTGTCGATTGAGCTCTTGGTTTAGTTTCCGAATTTTGCATCAAGTCAATATATAGCTCCTGTAGATACTATTTGGGTAGTACATGTATTTTTTCCAATAAGATTTTGCCGAAACATTTTGGTTGATTTTCAGCTGATTGGCTGTCGGCCTTAATTCTTTCGGCTTATTTATCCAATATTTTGTTTCCTACAAATTGTCAAAAGTAATTTTGAGATTGATAAGATTTTGGCTCCAACTTTTTGAATGCTCAAATTCAACCTCACGTGGAACTCTTTGAAAAAGTTTTGACAACTTTAAACATAAAAAACTTAAGATTTTCATTTTTTTTTTCGGTCTTTTTTCAACGGTAACAACGTTCGAAGTTCTCTTAGATTTTTCTTGAGCGTTGTGCTGTTTTAAACCTACACTTAAGCCAAGTTGCGAGACGCCCAGCTTCACCTTTGTAATTTCATTGAGGTCAGCGTTTCGATTTTTTGTATTCGAAGTACAAATTTTAATTCACTTCAAACAATGGATGTCAAAATTTTCATGCTCATGTAAGTTTGTTACCATATATGAGTTCAATCGAGTATGTTTAAATTTTTTTTGAAAATGATTTAAACCATTTTGAAAATAGTTTTTTTTTGGAAAACAGAAAGTGCTGTTTGATACTATCTTCTATATTTCTATTTCAAACTATTTCAGAAGTCAAGTTGCAAAGCTCCAATGCACGGCATAGGAGATATGGCTTGTTTTGAACTTTTAAAAATGTGTAGTACTGGATTGTTGATGCAGCTCATGTGTATGTTGGCTAAATATGGCGATCGTAGCTCAATTTTGAAGTTTAACCGTGTGACAATGTGCAATTTGTTTGTTTCTATCAAAACATCCCCGAAATTTTTCACTAGCTTATAATACTATATTTGCGCGGTATTCGCAAAAGGTGCGAAGCTCCGCTTCACCCCTGTGTCAATGAATGTTTTGGTTAGTTTCTCTATATCTTTTGTTTCCAAAGATACTTCTGTTTGGAACTCTTTCGTTTCGTTGTCCCCTATCCAATAATCAATCGGTGAGAGTCGATTACAAGTTATGGAAGTGAATTTTTTTGGATGAGAATTTGTGTTAGCTGAGTCAGTTTCCGGTATTTGAGTTAGTTCGCTGTTGATTTCAATTTCGCAGCTTTTGCTATTGACAACTACTCGAATACTGATATGTTTTTGCTACTCTTGCAGTCGTGACTCGGCTCGTTAATATCTAATTTTCCCTAGTGAACTTATTTTTATCCTATTACACTATTCAACAAAATCAACAAAGTTTATTAGGGGTCCAGATGTGCCGCCTTCCAGTGGTGGACTCGACAGACAGCCTCGCCTGTCTGCAAATGGCACAACCACAACCTCCTATCTGGGCAACTAATAACAACTTAAGTTTATTAGACTGACGGTATGTTTTATTGCTTTGTTTTAGATCAGTTTGACTTGGTTAGTTTTTTTGCGGGCTTGTTATAACCATCACCAGCAGATGCCGGTGATCCCCATAACTTGTCCTGTATGTCTCAGCACAATAGTGCCAGATGACAATCTTAGCAATCCTGGATGTGGTCACGTGTTTCACACATCATGCATAGAAGAGTGGTTCAGAGTGCATAAATGTCGAACATGTCCTCATTGTAGAAAGACTTCACGCCTAGCGCAATCACATGCCATATATTTACAATTCGATGAAAACGCGCTAAATGAAACACTTCCACGAGTTTATTGCCACAGTGATGACGTAGAATTAGTTCCAAAAACTAGCGCAGAACTGAAAAAGGATAATGATAGGCTTAAACGCGAATTGACCAAAGTGAAGTCCGAGCTGTCCAGTTATAGTACTAAAATGGAACAGGAAAAATCATCGAGAGAGCAGACAATTTCGTATCTAAGCAACCAGGTAACTAACATGGAGTCAAATCTCTCTGAAAAAAATGAACAAGTACTTATACCATTACTTATAGTTTGGACGATACTCTTGATCATAGCGTTGATTTGAGGTCAAAGGACCTAAAAAAGTCTGCGAATGAAAACGCTCATAGCCGGCTTTCAGATATTTTATCTTCGGCAGATGAAGGCAAAGAAAACTCATTTATCGAAGAGATAGCGAATGAACAAAGTGTGCGGTCATCGTCCGGGTCTAAGAACAGCAGTCAGGATCTTAAAGCCGGAACTTCTAAGGCAGGTGCTATAAAGAAAAAAGCTTTCGTTCCGGTTCATAGCGATGATGATGATATTTTGATGGAGCAAACCATCATGATCGAATCGCCAGAGTTTAGAAATCCACTTTCAAAAGTCAAGGGAAGTCTACTCAATCGAAATAGCAGTAAACCCAATTCTAAAGGCATTAAAAGGTTTTATAACGGACTGGGGTTCAGTTCTGCGCCGCTATTCCAAAGAACTAATAGCTTCCGCAAGTAAACTGTTGCAATACTGACACAACAAATTTTAATAATTGTGATTTGATTTTTGAAATAGCGGTTTGTTAGTTTCACAGTAATTTAATTTTTGAGTTCTTTGTATGTTTTAGTAGTTTGAGGCCGAGAGCGTACCTTCATTGGAGTTGGAAGACTTTTCATTATGTTATTAAGTGACACTAAACGAAGTGAAGACACTTATTTAGGTTGTGTTTTTTCCCGTCAAAGTTGTTCACGCTCAAAATTGATTTTTCGCGTTCAGATTTTGTTGATTATATATGCGATCAGCTTAGTGTATTATTACGAACCTTCTTTTTTTCTAAGCTAACTGGAAAATAAAATTGTTTATTAAAAGTGTTTATTTATTTAGAAATTTCTATAGCATTGGAAATTGCATAGCATCTGTTCTCTGCTTTATTTGTGGCTAGTGCTTGGGACCTATTAAGCGTCCGTGATAGACTCACAATCTCTAGGTCACAGGTTCGAATCTCAGGCGTAGCCGAATTTTTACTAATTCGAGGCTTTTTTCTAATTTTTTTATTGCACTTTATAGAGCTGCTTTCTAACGTGTTCTCGCTAGAGTTTGCGAAGCGAAGCTTCGCATCTGTGTTTCAATTCCAATTTATCTCAAGTAAAGTTAAGGATTGTGGCATCTTTTTTTTTTTATTTTTGTGGGGATTGGTAGTTCTTGAACTAACTAATTAAAGCTTAAATGATGTAAAATGTTCTTATTTTCAATGAAATCGCCCTGAACAGAATCATGTTGGTAAATATAAAAATGAAATATTTTCAACGTCAACCCGATTATTCGCAACATGACAACTCGCAACAAAAGAACCCGCAGAAAGACAAATACATAGTTTTAGCATAAGTATCATTTCGGAAATGCAAGAACGCACAATAAACTTCTTGGATAATCTAGTAATTGCTAAACGTCAGTTAATGAATTGAAAACACTTATTTAGGACGTGTGGTTTTGTTTAGTTTTTCAGGAATTGTTTGCGCTTAAATTTGATTTTTCGCTGTTTGATGTATTTTTTAATCTTCAGTTGAAATTAATTTTCTAAATGGAACGAAATTACGCTCCGATAACGAATGTGCAATTAGCGCGCAAAAACGTGGTTGACTGTAAGTTTCGAAAGTGGATCATAATTTGAAGACTTTCCAGTGAAATATAGTTATTACTCGTCGATCCAATTTTCTCCGATTGGGTTTGCTGTATCGTGAAAGAGTTTAAAACACTTGCGAGAGCAAGTGTCGTGTAATCGGGAGATAGACCTTTTTTTACCGTAAACAACTATTTTTGCAAATTTGTAAGAAATTGTGAGTTTGCTTTTTAAGTTTACCTTACCAACTTCGATACCCTTCTTAATTAACCTAGAGGCAACACAGTTGCCTTTGTATCCTACGATCTGGGCTTCATCGGCTTAGCTACCTTATTATTTTATCACTTCAAAAAATGGTTTATTTTTTTGTGAAAGTTCAGTTTGTTTGTGTTGCAAGGTAAAAACTTAATTACTCAAAAAATTATTACAACATTTTCTCATGTCATTTTTCTGCATTTGGCTCAATGGGCGACTACCCACTTGTTGTCGGCATAGTAGGCGCTCGGTAAATGCTTAAAGCTCATTCAATACTGGTGGTTGTGTTTTTCGACTGTTCTGAAATATTTTTCGGTTTTGTTTTTTCCGTCTCGTTTTCTCTTTGCTAGCTTGCAATATGGCGCTTAAAATTCAAAAAGCTTACTAATCGAAGAGCTGGGATATCAACGGTTCTTTGAAACTCAAAAGTTACAATTTTTTCAATAAAGTATTTTTTACCGTCTACTTGAGTTAATTGACACTTTTACAACTGAATATGGCGATATTCGCCCATTCCGCTATAGCATTTTAAATCATGCATCAGTCGGTTCTTCCCTTGGTGCTCATCATCTCGCTCGGTCTATGTGAATTCATTTAGCCTTTTCTATCTGAATGTAGACAATGTTCGCCCATTCCACTAAAGCATTTTCATCTACCATCAAATGGTTCTTCCCTTTGTGCTCATCTTCTTGCATTGGGTATTGATTTTTTTGGTTGATAAAAACCTCGATTTTAACTCAGACCGGAAAGTAGTATGATTTTTACTTTGTTCTTGGTTTGGTGGTGCAGATTCCTATTATATATTAGCCTGGTTTTCAAAACGCTAAGACCATCCAGATCCAGGCTCTAGGCCATTTGTTCTAGAGGTAAATCCGGTTGCCTTTGTACCCTAAGGTTTGGGGTTTGAGTACCGTTCTTCGGACCTTGACCGTTCTGCTGACTTATTGCCGGCTAATTTTCAACTTCCTATTTAAACAATTCTTGTAGACGTCTTGATATTTCGTAAATTTATCAACTCTCAATTCGGAATTTTTTTTGTTCCGTCCATTGAAAATGGGTAGGGAGCTTTGTATTTGAGTGTGTTTTAGTTTTTTCTTCTTTTTGTTTTCCACGCAAAAGCAGCTACCATAAGTAATCATCGGACAAGGTTGAGTGATATATCATTTTAAAGCCCTTTCATTCGTGTTTCGAACCTCATTAAAAAATTTCCCGGTGTCGAGAAAAACCGGTTTGAAATTTTTAGTCTAATTTCGAGCGAGTGAGCAGGCTTACATTAGCCTATTTTTGCCTAATTTAAGCCTCGAAAATTTAGTTTTACTCAACTGAAGTTAGTTTTTGGTATTTTCAGCTTCATCTTAAGAATCAAAAACTTCAGAATTTTGGTAAATAATTAAAAAAATAATTAAAAATTTTTTTTCTACTTTTGTTATTTGTCTTCAAAAATTGTTTTCCAATTTGCATATTTTACATGACTGACGAAAATGCTGCAGCTCTACTTTTTCGCTCAGATTGTTTTATCACACCAAGCCGAAAAAACGACACTAATTGAAAAAAATAATTTTTGTTGTAATTTTAAAGACTGCTCGGAACATTCTGTGCTACTTGCACAGTAACCGGTTATCCTTGTTTTATTTTCTTATTGTTCCGACTTTTGAAAAAAGGGGAGGAAGTTTGTATTCGGGTGTGTTTCAGTTTTCTCTTTTATTTTTGTTTTCGACACAAAAGCAGGTACCTCAAATAATCATCGGACTGGGTTGAGTGATATATCATATTGAAGCCCTTTCTGTCGTGATTCGAACCACATTAACATTTTGCCTGTGTCGAGAAAAACTTGTTTGAAGTTTTTGATTATGTTTCTTCTTTTGAGCCAGTAAAACGAGCGAGCAGGCTTATTTATGCTTAATTTCAACCGTTTGAAATAACTTATGCCTAATTTTAATTTACTCGAATAAAAATAGTTTTTTGAGTTTTTAACGCCATTTTGGGAATCAGAACTTCACAAAAAAAGTTCTTCAAAAACTTGCCCGATTTCCCGATTTAACCATAAATGTCCTACTCTCGAATTTCTAGTTGTCTTTATTCAGATCTTTTCAAGGAAGTCACGACATAATTTGAAAAAAACTTTTGTGCATTTTTTCAGACTATGGTCAGAACATTCTGTGCTACTTGCACAGTAACTGGCTAGCCTGGTTTATAATGGTTGCGGGTTATATTTTATAAGCTTTTTCAACCAATTTTTTGTCGTTTGAAGGGCAAACCTTTATTTTTTGACAATTCAGGATAATTATGTTGTAACATGTTCAATTTCTAGTGGTATTTTTTTTGTTGGGAGGCTTAGTGCCCACTCAATAAATGTTACTTAAAGCTTAATAAATGCTGGTGGCTGGTTTCTCTTTTTTTCGAAGTTGATTTTTTCATTTTTTTAAATTTGTTTTTGTATTTGTTCAGGAAAAGTTCTAAAATTTGTTCAGTATCAGTGGTTTGACTTGTGATTTCTGCGTATGTTCAGTTCATCTTTGTTAAAAGGTTGCATACTCCACTTATTGATCCAGTTTTGTCAAATTGGGTTAATTTAATCAAAAAAGCGTCAATCTTAATTTTTTTTTAGTAATTCAAAGCTTTAAGGACATCTACTTTATTCTAAACTTTTAGATTTTTTACAAGTTGAGATTTTTAAAAAATGAATCCTAATTTTTTTCTGTTTACTTGTGTAGTTTTCGAATTAGCGATTATCATCTAATTTCTTTTTTACTAGCTTGCAATGCTACGCTTGCGTTGCATTACAAGTGGTGCAAAGTTCCGCTTTGCCTCTTTGTTAATTTAAATGAATGTTTTAGTTTTATGTAAAAAGATTTCTAACAAATTTTCGTTTAAGAAATAATATAAATTTTTGAAATATCTTTTATATCCTTTGAAAACAAGGATAGCCGGTTGCTGTGCAATTAGCACAAATATTTCGACCAAAAAAATCTAAAATGACAATAAACTGCAAAATTGAAATTTTCTTTATTGTTTTTCTAGAAACGACAAATGAATTAGTACTAAAATGGTAAAAAAAAGGCTTATGCTTTAATTACATTGAGGTTACAATTTGTGACTTTCTTATCAAGTTGTGGTTACGCTAGTCTGAAAACCGAAAATATTTAGACCTGTTTTTCTCGACACAGATATTATTCAAGTTTTTTTAGAATCCGAATCGCGATCAAAAGGGCTTTAATATGACGCCTCTTTTGATCCCTACGAGTTTTCTTGGAGGTAGTTTGAATTGGCCGCATTTAAAGTTCGTTTCCACTCTTTGAGTGGTGAGATCAAAAAAAAAGAAATTTTAAAGCTCGAAAAATTATTAATTTTTAATTTACGATCCATTTTCAGCTTCATGTAAAGTTAATTGAAAGAAATAAAGTTGAAATTATGTAAATACTTATAAGTACGGGCTTTAATTTGTTCAGTCTATAATTTTGATATATGGATGTTTTTAAACTGTATAGAAATTAATTAGTCCATGAAACTGATCACTCAGTTTTTACGTTTTCTTGCTTCTATCTTATAGGTGCCTGTTTTATACACTACATACGGTTTAGACTCAATTGTGAAAAATTGAGACTTCCAAAGTTTTCAATTTATGAAATTTTGAGATAATTATCTTATTTTATAATAAAGTAAGATAATATCAATATAGCATAAAAACATTGAAAAACTTTTTGGGCTTTTTTTTTGTTTTTTTCAATATAACATAGATGCGAATTTCTAGAATCTTGCTTAAGGTTGGCAGTTCATTATCAAGAATTAGTGTTCGACACCGAAATTTCTATAATTTTTGTTGTTCCTAGAACTTAATGAAATTTGCGCCTTAAATTGAATGTTGTTACGAGCTTTTGAGAAGTTGACTGTTTATAGATAGGGGTTCAAGTTAAGACTGAACGTGTGCGACTCTCGAAAAATTGATGTTTTTACGAAATTCATAAATCATAAAAGTAACCCCAAATACTTTGGGTTGGCTTTATTCGCATAAATGAAATCCAATCGTATACTGCACTGACACAGATGCATACTGACACTTGGGCACTTCATAGTATGCAAACTGAATGATTCGATTTTTTATAGTTATAAATGTACAAATAGGTAACTATGTAAAAAAAATTAAGTTATCTAAGCTTATAGCACTATTTAATAATAACCTACTTCGACAAAATAAATTAATTGAAATAAAAAGCGTATTGTATTCTTCTGTATTTCTGCATCATATTATAGGCCCATGTAAAAAAAATCAAGCTTCCCAAAGGGCTTGCACAAGCGCCATCTGGTGACACTGATAATCGTTTAATCCAGAACTCAATTCTTCCGCCGAATAACGGGCAGCAGACCCGAATGTAAAATCACAGAACAATGTGCCTGTATTATGCAAGAAAACTTGCATCCACCTTTCTTGCTGTTCATACTTCAGTACATTTCCGTTTTCCTCGGTTAATAACCATTTCAAGTATTCGTTTCCGTGATTGACTACGGAGTACTCAGTGAACTGGTTGGTAGGGAAATCGAACAGAGGAACTCGAACCCACCCTTGTAAGAAACCCAGAGGATATTTTTCTTCGCAAACAGAGGTCTGAACTTGTTTTCTGTACGCCGAGTATTTTTTTTCTAACATGCGACGTTTGTCTTTAAAGTCATAGTACGATGCACCGTACACTCTTCGCATCCAATTCATAGTGTGAAATCGATGGGATGTTTTGGCAGAAGAGCATTGTCTTGCGAAATTAGTGAAGGCATTTCTGTTCCAGTAGTCTGGCAAATTACTCCAGTCTATAACAGAAGGCTCCAGTTCCTCAATAGAAGCGGCAAATTCCGAGTCTTTAGGGTCCACTTTTTTCACAAAAAAGTGGCATTGAATTGTCCTAAGCTGAATTAAATCACGTATTCGGTTAAACTGCGAGGCTGTGGTTAGCCGAATCATTAGATAAAGGGGCAAAAGATAGCTTTTTTTGTTTTCTAATTTTTTAACGAATATGTGAATATCCACCGTATTAAAAAAATTTTCGAAATTTGTTCGAATCCAATCGTCGTGTTGATCTGGGAACATGGTACAGTTTCCACAAACTGCTTCGTCTTCTAGGAACAAACAACCCGTGAACAGATAATTAGCATACCAAACTCTGTCTGCTTTGATTTCTAAATTGTTAAGCGCCATAAAATTAGCTTCTTGCAGATTGCACGAGAAACTCTCCTTAGCATCTTCCACACTCATGTTTTTCTTACGCGTCCAAATTGCGGCGTACTTTTGAAGAAGATTATTTTGAATGTGAGGAACTTCATTTTGAATGAAATCCTCAAAATCTTCTTTTGTTGCTTCGTCCCAGCAAGAAGAAAACCAAACCTGCAGTATTGTTTCGTCTCTAACTTTCTTCCAACCAACAGTTTTCATCATTTCATAGATGAGAGTACTTCTAGCAACTGATACTTCAGAAGCATCGAATCCATAAATGACGGCTGGTTTGCTTGGAATGAAGAATCTAACCTCTGCCCACAGTAAAGAGCAAAGGTCAACAAATCCGAAGAAAACAGAGTTTGTGCCTACAAACAAAGGGTAGTTAACACTTGGCGTGTTTCGCAACATTTGCTGATGTAAGGTCACGTAAGGTCTAGCATCTGTGGCCAAAATATCTCCAATTTTTATATCTTCGCGGCTGACAAAATCAGAGGCAGAAGGATCGTTTCCCCAGCGCTGAGCAAATCGAGATTCGTCGAAGTCATCTTGTGTAAATGCGTCCCCTCCATCCTCGATTCTTCTGATTATCTCTAGACAATAGTTTCTGTACTGTTTAAATCGTTCGGCATTATTGACGCTTTCTTCGGGACATAGTTTATAGTATTCAATCGAATAGTCCGGAATCAGAATATCTGCTGATTGGCTTTGTGATTGGCTTGATGAAGACTGGTCTGATCTTCTGCATGTGGATTTATGAGCTGTCCAGTCCTTGGTTTGGCATTCCTGAAAAAAATATGCTTATTTTTTGATGGTATTTCAAATAATATATTTAAAAGATAAAATATTTTCCAATCCGAGAAAGTCAAAAACTGTAAATGCCTATCTATTATGATTGTTTTTTTTTTTTCAATCTATCTATTATGATTGTTTTTTTTTTAATTAAAACTGAAATGACAAGCATATTTTGTTTGTAGAAAAAGAATATCGCCTTGAAAATTCTATTTTGCCACTCAGTTTCGGTCGTGGACTTAGTTTTCAATTTTAAACAACGATTTCAAGGAAAACTTGTTTTAATTACCATCGTGTTTTTGCTTGAAATATTCTGGAACGATATACTTAAATACAATGTTCAAAAATACCTCACAAAAAAGCAGTTCAGCAAACATGATGATAACTAAAACAAGAACTTTTAAATTGGAATTTTTTGCTTTTAATTCCTATTCAAATAATATTCAACTCGAAAACTCCAAAAATCATTTTAGAAAAGGAAAAAATCAAAAACGATAGAAAACAACCAAACCATATTCATTTAACAACATTATCCCCTGAAAAGCATAACCACGACAATGAAAAATTTGAGCAACAAATAAAACTTTTAATAATGCAGCAAGACAATAAGGCAAAAACATAATGGTCGGGTATTGTTTATGCTGTAAAACTTTTGCTGTTATCTAGATTCGATTTTAAAGTTTTGAAAAGTTAGAACTAGATTATTGCTTTAGAAAAAAAAGCCCAAATTGTTGCAAAAAATATATATTATTTGTTGGTACTAATTTAAATTGACCTGAAATATGTTGTTAACATATATCAAATGGGTTAATTTATGAGAGTACTAACTTCCGTTTTTGATAGAATAACATTTTGATAATCTTTCTTTTTTCAGCAAATTTACATACAAAAAATGAAGCTCAATGCTTAAAAATTTGCTTATATTTGGTTTATTTGGCATATTATTCTACGGCCTCTTTGAAAGTCTTTCAGCAAATTGAATCAAACGGTCACATTTTAGCTGATGAAGTTTTTAAGCCTTTTTTTGAAGATTTTGACCAAAAACACCGTTTTTAGGCTCGCTCTAGCCTCAAAATTAGTATATTTAAGCGTCGTCCGCTAAAAATGGACGTCGGAAAATAGTACCAAAGGGTCGACGTTTGGATGGTGAGGGAGGGGGTCGAATCCCCGTTAGAAGGCAACCAACCCCTCCTTAAATCCGCTATTGAGTACAAGTATATGATAGTTGGCTCTTTTTGTGAAAATGTACATAATTTTTGTAACTTCGAAATTGCAAATCCAAAGAAAGTACAAACTTTCTCTCCCAACGTTAAATGAGATACCCAAAAATTTTGTTCAGAGACTCATTTTGGGCCCCAGCTAACATTATTACAAATTAGTACAATTTAAATGTGAACTGAATGTACATACCTTTGAGCAGTAGCTGACCTTTTTGCAGCCTAAGCATCTTCTAGCATCTGCTTTACTGCATACTTTGCAATTCATAATTAAACTCAACTTATGTTTGGTGATCGAGAAAACTATATTTTATACTAATGCCAACAAATTTACTTTATCTTTCGGGAGATAAAGTTATTTGCCTTATTTTCAATGAACCCAGAGCACTGACAAATTTTCAAAGGGCAAAAATCAACGACGAATACAGACAGAGATTACATGTAAGCTCAACATGGTTGCAGACAGGTCTTTTGCCACTGTGTAAATTTTGTTTTATTGCTACCAAATGAAGCCCACTCAGCATACTGCTCTAAAAACAGACTGATTTGAAAATGGAGAACCGGGTAAGATTGTTGACGACCACAAACATGCAAAAAAAAATTGGCTAACTACTTTTCCTAGTAATCACAATTGAAAAAATAATAATAATTGCTTTTCTTAAGAGCTTTATAGCAATCTAAATGCATATAAACGAATTTTGAGCTGAGGAATCAACATGAAATCTGAATGTGTTTTGAGTTGAGCAATAAAATGAGGTTTTTTAATTGTATATACAAGCAGGTTGACTTCAGGTGTCTCTATTGAGTTGATTTTTGATTATAGACTCACTTTTCACCTGCTCACCTTATAACTAGGGCAACCATAACTGCTATTACTGCTATTCTGTCAGTTTTGTCAATTTCACCAAATTAACATTGCTGTTTGAAATTTCACCAAACTGCTATAAATGCTGTTTCTCGTATGTATAAAGTCAACTTTTGGTCTTTCTCAGAAATTGTCTAGCTAATACCTACATTTCTGAGAAATACGTGTGCCAGTAAGCAACGTATTTGACCATTTACGATTGCGACATGCCTCGTTCGAAGCTTCTTTGATAATCGGAAATCTTATTACTCCCGATGTGAACTATGTGGGATGTGTATCAGATTCCAGTTGAATTCGATATTTCTACATGAATATGTTTTTTGGTCATATTTTGAAGGTTTAAGGTCAATTTTAAAGTCAATTTAGGGTCATTTTAAGGTCAATTCGATAGCGCTATAACTGACGTTTTAAAGTCAATTTTGTGGTTGCCCTGCTTATAACCTCCAGTGAAAAATGGTGTTGTCAAACAGAAATTCTCGAAGAACAAAAAGCAACCAAGAAAATGCATCAAAAAAGTTTCGACCACTGAAAATTTTTCATATGCAATAAATAGAAATTTGTTTATTGGCTCCGATTTTGGTTCAAAATCAGGCATTTTGTCATCAACGAGACAAAAACTCTAGAACATCCGGATTTACATCAATTTGTTAAAGGCAGTCGTTGCAAGAACAATATAAATAGACGCACTTAGCAAACGTAGCGCTCAATCTAAATGGGCAAGCAAAAATTCCCTTATTTCTACACAACATTCAAGGCTAATTGTTCTCTTTTTCACCTTTTTAGTTGATATCTATCAATAGGGAAGCAAGGCGCAGATATAACCCGCCTGGAATGAGGTCCAAATAAGGTTATTGAGTTTTTGTTTCGAGATATGAAGATTTTCCATTAATCGGCTCCAAATTGGGTTCAAAATTAAGGATTTGAGCATCAACGAAACAAAATTCTGAGAGTTCCGGAACTGTATTCATTTTTAAGTGAAATTGTTGCACAAATATGGATAGACCTCAGATCGGACTAATTACTTTTCTCATTTTAAAAGTTTTTTACTTGGTATCTATCTATAGAGAAGTAAGACGCAGTGATAACCCTGGGAGGCTCTAAACAAGGCTCCTAATTTTTTTTATCCGAGATAGAATGGAGGTTCTCAGAGAGAAACTTCCAGTAAAGTGCATAAAGTTGATTCGATCACTAAAAAGTTTCCATGTTCGTACATTAGAAAAAAGTTAATTGACTCCGAAGTTGATTTGAAAACAGGCATTTTATCATCAACGAGACGAAAGTTCTAGAAATTCGCGGACCATATCCATTTTCTAATTGAAACTGTTGCAAAAATATAATGAACGGACCTTACCAAAAACAAACCGAACCGCAAAATCTAAATCGGCCGCAAAAGTTTCCCGCATTTTAGCAGAACACTTAAGCTAATTTTCTCATTTTCACATGATTTTTTGTTGGTATCTATAGAGAAGGTGGGGGGGGGGGGGGGGGGCTGAGATAACCTTAGAAGGAGGTCCAAGCAAGGCTTTTGAGTTTTTGCTCCGAGATAGAATATAGGTTCTCGAACGAAAAGCTTCTAAGACAGTGCATCAAAAACGTTTCCACCACTCTTGATTTTCATGTGTTATTGGCTCGGAATTTGATTTAAATCTGGCTTTTTAGCATCAATGAGATCAAAATTCTTGAAACTTCGGAACTATATCGATTTTTTTATGCGAGGTCGTTGCGAAATTACAATAGACCTTAGATTCGACTAATAACCGAAACTGCACCTCAATCTAAACCGACAACAAAAAGTTAACACACACTTACAGAAAACATTTACAGCATTCTTAGAGACTGTTTTTGATCATTTTCACCGTTTTTTTTTGGTTATTATATATAAGGGGTAACCGACGCCACTTTTCCATACAATGCAAGCATGAGACTCTTTCATCGGCAACTCAGAGGAAAAACGCAGCGGAAATCGCATGTCAAAAGTTTCTGTTGGCCTGTTTTTTTTGGTTGGCTGAACTTAACAACCTTCCACTTCAAACACGGGGAAAAATGTCTTAAATAATTTAGCGCAGTAAAGTTAGTCAAATAATCAGATGTATGTACGTATCTTTGTATATATCTATGAGCGAATTTTTTTATATATATAAAAAAACGCTCAAAAACCGCTCAAGATTTGAGCGGTTTTTTTTGCGGTTTTTTAGACAATTACGCTCCAAATCTTGTTTCAAAATGTTAAAGTCGTAAGTTTAGAAAATCAAAAAGGTTGTTAATAAGTTGTATTGAAGACAAACTGTTAGGCATCAAATCGAAATCTTACTGCACTCTTTTATTTCAGATCCCATCGGACATAAGAGATCGCAAGGTCAAGACAACAGGTCCCCAGACAGAATGAAGAATTGATAGCACTTACATAAACTCAAACTGGTGTCTATCTAGAACAATTGATAGCACTTACATAAACTCAAAACTGGTCCCTATCTCATTCGGGCAACCACAAATAAATTTTAGAGCGTAGATAAAATTTATCAACTCTTTGTTACTATTTGGTATTGTATAAAAGTACTAGTTAAGTTTTAGTTTACGTTGAGTTTTCTCATCCGCCAAACCTCTCTTAAGGTTTATTTTTCTCCTTTTTTTTCTTGTCAGTTTCCTCATTTGTGTTCTATTCGGTGGAACATAACCCCCCCCCCATTTTGTCAACTCCGCGTCTCTGTCGTGTTGATTTCCTCGTCGCTGTTTCACACTGGTTTTTATTTCGTTTTCCACCGACGGGTCGTGGTGAATTCTCCCTAACCGACGGTACATCCTTTCCTTCGTTCGCTGCACCTATATTTGGTTCACTTCGCTCGATTTCCCACCCACTATCTTCGTCGTCGTCGTCCTCGCTCTCGTCCGCACTGTATTCCACTATCCGTTGTTTCGTCATTCTTCTTGCGTTTCCTTTGCGGTTCGGTTCTTCTCGGCTTTGCGCTTACACTTGTTGGATTCGCTTGAGGCCGGGTTACTAAGTACATTTCTACTCGGTCCTGGGGTGCACTCCTCGCTTCTACTCTCAATTAGGCTTTCTTCAGCCGCCGATCTACAAGACACACCACTCCGCCTTAGTAACGACCCTTTTTCCATTTGCACCGTATGCTTAGTCAATTTTTCAATTTTTAATGGCAAACGTTTATGCCTTCTTGGGTCCTTTGGATCCGTCTTCCCGGTCCTCTGATATACAGTCGTGGAACTTGTTTTGTGCTTTTTGAGCCATCTTGGAGTTTATGGTGGACTTAGTTCCTTGGGGTCAACAACTTCCGGAGCCTTGGGATCCGCTACCACAATGAGCGGTTTGAGCGGTTTTTGAGCGTTTTTTTTTTAGATAAACCGCTCAAATCTTGCGCGATTTTTGAGCAGTTTTTTAGATAAACCGTTAAAAAAACTGCTCGAACCGCTCATTTTGAAGCAAGATTTTGAGCGTAATTGTCTAAAAAAAAACGCTCAAACCGCTCAAATCTTGCTTCAAGTTAGGTGAAAAATCTCGACTTGGGAACCAATCAAAATATAAGCAAATTGGAGCTTGCGACACTAAGCGAGCTCTAGAACTTCAGCTGTTGCATTCACAAAACAGACGTGAAGCTTAAAGAATAAATACAATGCTAAAAGAAGGTTAGATGAGGTTAAATAAAACCTGTAGAAGAATAACTAAATGTTTTATTTAGATGGGTTCTTTGAGTAGATATTATAAGGGATATGTTTAAATATATACTTTGAGTTTCCGAGCAGCTAAAAAAAAAGACTTTTAGTCCGGGAAATCAACTGCAAAATTTTGAGAAATTTTGAGAATTCAACTACAATTGTCAACTTAGTCTGTGGCCTCAACTTGTTTTGAAATAAGCAAAGAATACTCAAGTTTAAAAAACCAAATGAATGGGTTGAATTCTGTGATACTCTCGGAAAAATTTAACAATATTTTGACTAGATGGCAAAACCAGGATAAAATTCAGCTTGTGAGTTTAAAAAATTTCTTTCTAACACGACTTATTTCAAACCAAATATAAAATATATATATATATAAAACATCACTCCAAAATCTCAAAGTTGTCGAGTTATTAAATAACACGATTTAAACCAACAATAAAAGCTATCAAAGTTGATTTGCGAAATGTAAATTTATAAATTTCCTTTGTTTTGTTTATCGACCTGTCTGGTACTTTTGTTAGAAGAGCAATCATTTCAATGACATTTTCATAGTTTTTCTTTTTCTGGGTTAAACTGGCTCAGATATCAGAATGAACTGTGAAGTTTGTGGCAAATCCGACGCTAAAAGATGCATGCGTTGTAAAAGCGCCAACTACTGTTCGAAGGTTTGTTTTAATTCTAATTTCAACTGCTGCTGATTTCCTAACCCCAATAGTTTATTTACCATGCTCGACTCATCTTTTGC